GCTCTGGGATGGGCAGATCAGGTCTATGCATGTCTGAACTCAGAGTGGATTGCAAGATACGCCTCAGAAGCTGCTTGTATGCAACAAGTGTCATCTTGAAGTGTGGCTCCTGAATCCTGGGACTCTACACCATTTTTACATAATCTTTCAGCAATTCTCTCACCAGCCCCAAATCTCACTCAGCTAAAACTGCCCAATTATAAGAAGCTCTCAAGCACCTGAAGCTGTTCTGTTTAAGTTAGTAGTACAGAAGGAAACTGGCTCCAGGCTTCCATGCAGCAGCGCTGGCTTTGCACAGCTCTCATCCCTTCCTGCTCAGACTTCTCATTCCCACCCCAAGCTGAGGGAGGACCACCCCCTCCAATGACAAGGGCACTTCCTAAATGAAGGCATTAAGCTTTGAAAACATTATGCAAGTAATAGCAGGAAGGAGACTTGAGATTTCAGGAGACAGCTTGTAGCCTGAGTAAAATCATACACGCACGAGTATCTTCTAAAGCACAGGTTTTCAAGTCAGGCCTTTGGGATCTTTGTTAACTGCCCCACGACAATCAGTGTTAGTGTGTCTGTGGCATTCTGCAGCTGCCCACCAGGCTGACATCCTGCTAAGAGTACCTTGCAGACTTGCAAACAATTGTCTAGACTGCAGTGCTGACAGAGTGAGGTCATGGCTATCAAGCACTACATTCCATGCAAGAGTGAAGTTTCCGTTTCTTGTTTTCTTTTTGGTGACACCAGCTCCTTGCCATCTAGTAAGGGCTCTTGTCTGTCCTGATATTCCAGACTGCTTACCTCATCCACCACTCAAGCATGCAAACCCTTTGAGTCTTCTGCTCTCCTGCAATGCAGGAAGCAAACGTTCAGAGAACAGAAGAGGGAAAGGAGAGATCTTTCAGTGCATTTACGAGGTCATTTCTCGCACGGTGATGAATGTGGAGAACTCTCAGGAAGGTTAATAGGAAGCGTTCAATCCTCCCCTGCAGCAGCACCATGCTAACAGAAGGCTGCCCCAATCCATCTGGTGTCTTGGAGACATCTCTTGTCAAAACACCCTTGATTCACCAAAAAGGCACTTATAACAGCTGGAGGAAAAAAATAGAGCCCATCTAGGAGGGCAAAATACACATACTTGGAAAGAACTGAAATAACAGAAACGATCACAAAGAAGCAATAGGAAAGCACTGCTCTAAGATCTCTCATAGTTATGCTGCTGAAGATCCACAGTGACCAATCTCCTAACAGGAAAGACTGAAGATACTCTTCCAAATTCACTGTCAGATAACCTTGGACACTAAACAGTGCAGTTGGAGAGTGTGTTTCTATCTTATGACTGCATCTTTCGCCAGGTAATTTTATTACGTTTTAGCAACATTTAATAATCCAGTACACCTAAGAATCAAGTATCTCTTTCCTGTTCAGTCAGACCTCAGATTACATAATCTGTGAACAAACAAAATTACACAGAAAAGAAAATCAAAACCTCATCACAGGAGAGCATCAAGGACGTGGGCACTGTCATTGAAAATGCTGTAGGCAAAGCAAGTGGTGTAGAGAAACCCCAAAGCATTTTCCAACTCCATCAGTGATTGAACCCATTCGCCCCTCCATCCCTCTGACTACTGACATCCATGAAGGTCTGTTCCTCCATGCAGGAGGCATTGTTTGATGGGCCTGCACTCCCATTATATTCTTAATAGCATCAAGATACGGAAATGAATTTTTATTTCCTTAAGCATTAGATCACAAAGCCATGAAAATCTCTCTCTGCCTTTTCAATAACACAGATACACTCTTCCATTTTGGCTAAGCACAGAACACCAAAGTCTAAGAGCCCCAAGAAACTACCAATGCATGAGGCAGAGGCAATGCTCTATGGCTCAAATACAGGAGGTGTGCAACTCCTTATTGTCTCCCATGGCCAAAGTAGTTTTGGAAACTTCTACCCAAAAATAAAAGTGGAGTATGGATCCTGTGACCTCTTAGTGTAGACTTGAACAGGAATGATCTAGTGACTGAAGTCCCTCATCGCCTAAGAAAAAAAAAACAACCCTAGAAGATGCATACTTCTATCATTTGAAAAGTCAACTAATGCTGCTATGTCCCCTTTTAGGCAATTTCATCAGAGTCCAAAGAACAACAAGGTGTTTACCTGTTCAAGTCATACCTGCAGCACAATGGCAGAGCAATGGAGTTAAAGGAGTGGGGTGGAGAATGGCAATGAGGATGGATGTACATCACCGTGCCCAAGAGATTGCTGTTGTGTTGGCTTAAGAATTTCAGCCTCTGCGCTCATCTATCAAGCTGAAAACTGTGTTTGGATTCAGCTCAACCCTTTTCTGATTTATTTCTTGCCTACTTCAGAGCTTTAACTGCAAGATCAAAATTCTCCACTCAAAAAAGTTGCAGATGTGACCATTTTAAACCTTCATGGAATACAACGGTGTCGCCTTACGCGAAAACTGTGAAGACGCATCCTATCAGTGCTTAACAAAACCAGCTCCTGAAACGAAAAATAGACTATAAGAGGAAACCCAATCCAGTCTAATTACCAGAGGAGGTTTCATATGCTAACAGGCTCAACTGACCTATCTTTCAGAAGATTCTAATCTCAAAATAATGGTTGTATATCGCCGCCTACCTCCAAAACTCCGCCACTATGTCTGCGTGCGCAGGCGCTGTGATACGTTTGCAAGATATTCCACGCACCCAGGGTTAGGATCTGAACTTATGGCACTGAGAACTTGGTGCCTTAATGGATGCTTTTTACCACACGTTCTTTGGGTGTTGTCAATACGCCGTCCGACAACCAGAATCTGATATAAATTACTAATTATGATCAATAATTCAAGCTTTACGTATAGCTGTTGTACAATTAACTGCATACAAAAGCAAGAAAAAGGTAGAATATTAATTCTCAAAAGTCTTATTGAAAGATGACTTGCTGACCACTTAAATTTTCGGTTTGATTGTCCAATGCAATGCATAAAATCAAAGAGCAGTGTCACACAGAGGGCTGCATCCTACATGGAGACTGCATGAGATACAGAAAGCCAGCACTGAATTCAGAAGGCAGAAAAGGAGTGAAACCTCAGAGCAAAGGGAGTAAAACTACCACATCAAGGTAAAACTTTCATTCACAGCATCATAGAATCATTATGGTTGGAGAAGACCACCGAGATCATCTATTCCAACCACCAACCCATTCTAAACACCATTAAAGTCATCAATGAAAAAGTTAATCCTACTTGAGCATTGCTGGGAAGATGTGCCACCACCAACGGGCCAGAGAGGAACACAGCTTGCAGAGTGCTGTGTTTCACTCTCTAGATAGCCTTGATTTAACTGAAAGGAGAATCTAATTTGAGTTCATCAAAAGCAAAAAGTGAAACACCTCAACGACAGGCATAGAAAACACAAAAAAAAACCACCTCAAAGTTACAAACAATGGCTTGAACCACACAGCATTTCCCAACGCCATGAGATGAGTACAAAGCTGCCCAAGAATGATTCAGTTGGTTATTCTTTCAGCCTAAGATTTGTAGTGATTGTAGAGAGAGGACATGAAGATGAACCACAGCCTGTATCAGTTTACAATAATTGCACCCTCAGCTCTTGTGCTCTTAGCTGCAGAAATGGTAGCACTCCAATGGCACAGCTCAGCATAGCAACCATCCAGGCTAACTAACTAATTAGTGAATCATGGTGTCCTAACAGATCATGGAAATACACTTGCAGCAAACTGCTTGGGTCCAAAAGTCAATCAACTTGTTTGTTCTGCCTCCACGAGTTCGTAAATCTCAACACGACGTTTAACCACAAGCACGTACAAACACCAAAGTTCAATGCTGACTTTATTTTACACCTCAAAGTCGTGCAGCAGCACCATTCTGTGGCACACGTGGAAAACTGGAGCACACGGGTGAGGAAGTGACAAAACACCAACCCAAACCACACGCACATTTTTCTTTAGTTGCCCTCATTCTGTACTTTCCTTCTTCCTTACTCCGTGTTTACTCTCATTCATTCTCTCTCACGTGGCACAGTATTTATGCAACTGTCTAATTTCACATGGTTCTTCCCTTCCCCTACCCCTAAAGAGGAATAAAGATGAAACCTTCAGTCTCAAATCCTTGTCTGAGGGCTTCATGCACCTGCAGGTGATGACAAGTCTTCAGCTTCTCTCCAAAATTTGGAGACGACCAATCTTTGGGCTGGAAAAATCCTTCACCCCCCCAAGCCCCCCCTCATCCATTACAACCATCCACCTACCAACCACTGACCACATCCCTCAGTGCCACATCTCCACGTTCCATCAATACTACCAAGGATGGTGACCCAGCACCTCCCTGGGCAGCTGTGCCAGTGCATCACCACTCTTTCTGAGAAGAAATTTCCCCTAATATCCAACCTGAACCTGATGCAACTTGAAGCCATCACCTCTGTTCCTATCACTGTTACCTGGGAGAGGAGGTCAGCCTCTGCTTCTTGCTCAATCCTGGCTTTTTGTTTCTTTGTTTTCAATTATCCCTGTTTTCATAAGTACAGGTGTGAATCAAACAGATTTCAAGGAACACAGCAGTTCCTGACGAGGGAAGGAGGGCAGCAGCTACATCTGCACCTCCAGGCTGCAGTGCAGACACAGCATTCTCCCAGTCCCTCTCCTTTCCTAAAGGAAACATGCAGACTAAAGCAGAGATGCACAGCTCACACTCAGTTGTGCTGCTCCTCCTTGCTGTGGCAGCACCACCTTTGAGCAGCACTCACCTTACCTCAAACAGGGTCAGCAAAAAGCAGCACAGAAGCGGCTTCAGAAAGCACATTGGCAAACAGAAAGCCACGGGGGTGAAGCAGAGCTCTTCTCACCCCAAGTCCCAAAGCAAGGCAGGCCCAGGGCATGGAGGTGAGCCCCATACCTGCCCATTCTCCCCTCCAGCCCCATGGCTGGGCGCAGCTCCGGGCCCCACACAGCAGCAGGTGCCCATTCCCACATCCCATCTCACCTTCCTGGCTCCTCTCCTGGCAAATTCCCGGGCCAGTTGGCGGCCGATGCCACGTCCCCCACCTGTCACCAGCACGGTGTCCCCAGACAGGTCCCGTAGTTTGGGAGGCAGCAGAGCACAAACGGCGGCTTTCAGCACCAGGTAAAGCATCTGCACGGGGAGCAGCAGCACGGCGCCCAGCCATTTCCAAACCATCCTCTTGTTCCGGGTGATGGGTGGCAAAACTCTCTTCCAACCCTTCACAAGACCAAGGGAACAGAGATGGAAAGCCAGCACCCTTCATGCACCCGCAGGTGGGTGACGAGTCTTCGGCCCCCCCCTCCAAAACTTGGGGGCAAGCAATTCTTGGGCTGGAAAAAAATGGGAAAAATAATAATAATAATAATAATTCCTTCTCTCCCTTCCTAAAAAAAAGTGGGGTGGGAGGAAAGCAGTGCAGGAGAGCTCTGCCTCTCAGTCGGTGTCCTCCGGGGTCGTCACATGCAGGTAATGCTGATCCCGTGCCTTTAACTGGAAGACAGTTTTGTAGGAAAACAAGAAGTAAAATTAAAAGTAGCCATCCGTCCCTCCGTGCCAAAGGCCGACGTGCAGATCCCGTATCCAAATGGAAGGGGTTTGTTGGTTTTTTGTTTTTTTTTTTTTATACTTGGAAAAAATAAAATAAAGCAGCCTATGTCTCCAAATTGCTGCCTGCAGCGCCTTCCAGGCGGCTCATTTCTATTCTTAGACTCAGGAAATCGCTGAAATGAGACAGAATTGCCAGGACTTTCTATTTAAGAAAGGGTCTATTCAGGGGAAGGTTGTTTTTGTTTTCCTATCTATAAATATCTGCCGGCTCTCCGTCCCGAGCCGGCTGCAGGGCTGGGCTGCCCCTCTGCCCCCTCTCCTGGTTCCTCACCCGGCGGATCTGCGATCACAGAGCAGGAATTACGCCGCGCACTCCTTCAGCTCTTACTCATTTCTCCCTATTGCTCTCTCTGCCTATCGCAGCCGCGGCGCTGGGGAGGTTTTATACCCCATTAAGCCTGATTGACAGTTAAAGTGTCGGGGAGATTTCACTACTGTTCCTGTGAGTGGCTGGCTGAGCTCTCCCCTCCCCCGGAGCCCGGTTCCCGTTCTCCGGCTGCCGCCCGCGGTTCGGGGCTGCACCGCACCGCAACCCGCACGGAAGGGAAGCCCTGGCTGCCGTAGAGCCGCCTGCACGGCTGGAACCGGCGTCGGTGGGAAAGCTGCTTGCAGCCCGAGATGGTTGGGTTGAACCCAAGTCAAGCTGCTCAACGTCTGTCAGCACCCAGCCGATGGTTTTATGGACAGCTCGTGGGTTTTCCGTGCTGGTGTTGTCCGTCAGTGGCTGGGCAGTGACAAAGGGAGATGCACTGCTTGCATCAAGCAGTTTTTTGGAGAAGAGAAAGCTCTGAGGAGATGCTGCAGCCTTCCAGTGCTTGAAGGGAGCTTATCAACAGGGTGTTGATCAACAGTGACTTTTCGCATGGTCTGATAGCGACAGGACAAGGGGGAATGGCTTCATGCTGTAAGATTTAGGTTAGATGATAGGAAAAGAGCTTTTACTTTGAGGTACTGAGGCCCTGGCACTGCTGCCCAGTGAGGTTGTGGGTGCCTCATCCCTGGAGACATTCAAGGTGATGATGGATGGGCAGCCTGAGCTGGTGGTTGGCAGCTCTGCCCATAGCAGGGGGTTGGAACTGGATGGTCTTTAAGGTCCCCTCCAATGTAAGCCATGCTGTGATTCTGTGATGATTTTTCTCTCCTTTTCCATGACTTTCGTCCAGACACAAGGGCACAGTTGCAACACAAGGTCTCTGTAGCACTTTATGTTGTAACAGGAGAAAGGGCAGAAATGTTGCAATGAGGACCCTGAGTTGTTTGTTTGCACTGTGAAGCGTGAGGTGGGTACCTTGCATATTGAGGAGGGTCTAAACGCACATTTCACACAATGGCTTCAGTTGGAGGGGACCTTAAAGACCATCCAGTTCCAACCTCTGCCATGAGCTGGTTGCCCCCCAGCAGATCAGCCCATCTATGGCCTTGGGCACCTCCAGGGATGGGGCATCATCACTTCTCCAGGCAGCAGTGCTGGGGCCTCTCTACCTTTGAACTCAGGGCTGCTCACCCCGCATTACCAGTTGTGGCAGCACCGTCATAATCTGAAATGTAAAGTTTACAGGATGCCAGAAGATGCTCAGCGATGTCAACTTCACGCTGCTGGTTCAGTCGTGCTGGTTTTGACGAGTGTGCTATTAATAAGAACGTGCCAAAATGAAGCCAACCCCAGAGGCGAATTCTCAACCTATATCCACTATCCTGGGAAGCCATCTAGTGGTAAAAACTAGAATTACTGAAAAATCATGGAATGGTTGGAGTTGGGAGGGACCCTAAAGGCCATCAGGTCCAAGCCCTGCACTGAGCAGGGACACCCACAGCTCCATCAGTGCTCAGAGCCCCATTCCCTGACCTTGGGTGTCTGCACCACCTCTCTGGGCAGGCTGTGCAGTGCCTCACTGCCCTCATTGTAAAAAAACTTCTTATACTCATTTAAATCTCCCTTCTTTTAGTTGGAAACCATTTCCCCTTGTCCTGTCACAACAGACTCTGCTAAAGACTCTGTCTCCTTCCTTATAGCCCTTCTGCAGACACTGAAAGGATCCAAATGACAAAACTGAAGGATGTTCTCAAGCTTAATTTCCCCTACAGTTTCCTAAAGGACCACTTCAATGGAGCTGCATGAATCTAAAAGCATCCACACACAGGCAGTGAAGTTATATTACACAGCCAGTAGCAGTGAGCTAGGAAGCCAAATCCCTTTGAAAATAAACCTGATTCTATGTTTCATTATCAAGCATGTTCTTGAAACCACAGCTCAAAGCTGCCATGTGGTTCAAGGGTTATTTGGTGACAAAAATAAGGACTGAATTTTTTGTGCCTCCCACATTCAAACTTGTATCACGTGTGGTTCTATCAACACTGAGCATGAACAACATCCAAATCTTGGGTGAACAACTTCAGCACTGTTAAAACTTCCACAATGGTTTCCAGAAAAAGTAAGATTAAGAGAGAAGCTTGCAGAGTTCTTACCTTTCAATGCCAGTTTTCCTTTCATGAAGTAAAGTCAAACGATGGTCACAGCCTCACCATATGGGACCAGGAGAGGGGCTTCTAGGGAGAAGAAGCTGAGCCATTGCAACTGCAGTCTGCAGAGCTTGTTCAAAACCAGGTACCCCCTAACATAGCTGCATCTGAAATAACCAGAGCTGTGAGAATTTCCGTGGCTGCTTGGCAGCACTGAGCACTTCTGTGTGTTTTTACAGTTAGAAATGGAGCTGGGGGAGGCACCTGGCATTACAGCTTTCCTCTCAGTCCAGAAACTCTGAAGGGGAGAGAGAAATTACACAGAGAGCCCAGTGTCTGGCTTAAACAGGAATGACTCAGTGTCTGGACTGGTAACAAATATAACAACTTTTGGTATAGAAGTAAGGAGCAGTGTTAAAAATGAAGGGATATGAAGTTCAAGCAAGTCTGATTTTTTGATTCTTTGAAACGTTCACAAGTCCTTCAGTGCCAGTGGAAATAGTCCTGTGAGTATTTATCTGTTTCCCCATTAAATTATATTCTGAAATATATTAAAAGTGGCTGGTTGTTGGTTTTTTTTTTTTCCATTCATTATGGATGAATGTTGTGCAAACGTGCAGCTGGAGCCAAAAGACACAGCTACATACTTCAAATGAAGTATTTTGATTTTCCTAACGTCACCTTCAGATTGCAGTGAATGTATGAACTCTTTCACTGTTTTACTGCTCTGCTTTGCATTCACCTCAAAGCAGTTGCAACCAGAAGCTCATACACTGTGCAACAAGGGCAAGAAACAGAGGTAATCCAGCAAAGCTGGAGTTAGAGCTTCTTGCCTGCAATAAACCTGGTGAAATACATGCAAGTCATTTGGAAATTCACCTGACTGAAGTGAAAAATCAGAGAGCTTTAAATGCTGCACGTACTGAGGTTTGTCCCCTTGAATTGCAATTCCATTCTGAAAAGTGGCAAAAGAGTATTCTGGGATTTCACCTCACTGCTGCCTGGTAACCACGACGTGCTCTTTGGCATGAGATCTTTTCCCATCTCCTCAACAAATCCAATGTGTGCCTCTGTTTAAAAAGTCCATCTCTTTTGAGTGACACTCAAACCACGCTTTCATTTAGGTTTGGTCACTAATTGCTTTCAGTCAAAGTCTTGGTCCGTACCTTGGGTGGTGAAAATGAGGGTCTGTCACATCACAGCACTTGTTCCTGATGATCTCTTCCATGCTCCTATCAGAAGTCCTTCCCCATTGCACTGCAGCTTTCCATAAGCAGGCCTGTTAATACTGCAGAATTGCATCAGTTGCTGACGCCATCACAATTAATGCCACAATTAATGCTGCATTTCAGATAGCTGCACAGCACTGAACTATTTGTTTCGTGAGCATGCACTCCCAGCAATGTACAGATTGCAAAACCCCACAGTCATTTTTGGGTTGAGCCATTTTCGTGGCATTTTAAGCTAAGTTGGGTTCCGTTTTGCACAAGAAGAGTCGTGCTGCACATCTCAGTGGTAACTCACTTTGTTTCTACTTCTGGTTGTCAGTGTTTGGGTTTGTGCTGCTTAACAGAAGCGTTGGGCTGTAATGCACTTTGATGAATCTACTGTGAATAATTAGGTTTAAATTTAGAATGATTCATTCCTGGGACCATAGCTTGAAAGATGCATTCATGGCAACCCAGCCCATGGCAGGGGGTGGAACTGGATGGGTTTTAAGGTCCTAACCACTAATCCACTCTATGATTTTATGTTTTCTGAATATTTGACCATGAATATTTAACAACAGCACCAGCTTAAAGCTAAACCTGCAGTTCATATTTAGATAAGCTCATTTAAAGGCAGGTTAGAGCCTACAATAATTGAAACTCAGCAATGTGTGCTAGCATCTCAATGAGAGTCATAGGAACATACTTTTCCTTACTTCCCTGTTCCTGAAGGAATAAACAGCAGTGAAAAAGCGACTTTTACCTGCACACTTCCATAAAGAAAGGTTCCATTTTTGCAGAACAAACCTTCCTGGTTCTATAAAGAGGCCCAAGGAAGCCTTAAATAGGGAAATATCTTAAATATGGAAAATCTGCATTACTAAGGTGTCCAGTAGTACCAATTTTTTACATCCATGCATGTTCTTAACCACAGACAATCCATCACAGGCAGAGATTAAAACTAAGCCTCTCTTTAAAAATGAAACTCCTTGGCCAAGACGATCTGGTTTTTGTTACATGAAGTACTGCTGTCAGATTTGGATAAAGCAAGAGCTGTATTTTTGTGCTTCTTGATTTCATTCTTCCCTTGAGTTCACATTTTCCATTTGAAATGTGTCCCAGTGGTCCTATGATTTCACACTGTCCTTCTATATGCTATTAAGTATTAAAAGTCTGATATTGTTGCATTGTAAGTGGAGTTTTGCCATGGACTAAGCTCACAGGGACCAGGTTTCTGTTCAGCTTCCAGCCTTGACAGAAAGCAGCCTGTGTCCTGCCTTGTGTGTAAACCTACATTTGGAAATCTGCTTTCCCAGGGTCTCACAGCAAATCAGCATTAGGAATAAAGATACAGCAAACCTTTTACTGAGTGAGCCTAAGTTTCAGATAGAAGAGCAGAACCACAGACCCACTCATTATGGTTGGAAAAGACCTCTAAGATCATCGAGTCCAACTGTTCACCTACCACAACTATGGACCACAAAACCATGCCCCTAATAGGACCATAGGATCATTAAAGTTGGAAAAGTCTTCTAAGATCATCCAGATGATACAGCCTTTCTAAATCCAATATGCACAAAACCAAATGCCTTTATAAGAAGAACGCTCAAAGTGCTTGTAGGTGCTATCAGGAATTCAGAAAAAGGGATGCAACATCCAGGATGTGCTGTTTCTTTCAATTGCTTAATCGTCTCTTTGAATATTAGATTTTATAATTTGCAGTAACTGCCTGTCTTTTTTCTCACCTTGGTTTAATTAGAAGCCAAAGCCATCTCAGCCTATTAGCTCGTGTCCTCATATTGAAAGAGAGAACAGGGGGAAATACCACGTGTTGGCAGGAATCACAGAACCATCAAAGAATCATAGAATGGCTTAGGTTGGAGGGGAATCTAAAGATCACCCAGTTCCAAACTCCTGTCGTGGGCTGGTTGACCCCTACAAGAGGCTGCCCTGATGTCCAGGAATGCAGTGTCTATGCAGTGTTAAACTGATGAACTCATCTAACATTTTGTTTTGTACATTTACCTCACCTTTACATCACTCAGAACTTGCCAGACGCTCTCATTAATCCCTCAGTCCTGACAAAACTCTAACACACAAGAACTGGTGAAGAATTAAGCCCTTAAGGCAATTAAAATTAGAGAAGGAGTTTATTGTTTCGAGAGTCTGAAGTGAAATCTGACTAAACCAACGTGATATGGATTCAGACAAAAACTGAACAGTAGGTTTATTCTTGAAAACTTTTGCACTGGAAGCTTGTAAACTAGCTAAGGGATAAGGCTGTAGAGGAAATCTTCCCTGAGTCCTTATGAACAATGCCTTCTTTACACATTCTCATTAAAAGTGGTTATGATTTCTTTCCAAAGCCAGTGGTTCACCAGGACATAAGAAGAAGAAAATAATCATCAATGGAAAATGCTTTCGGTTGGAAGGTGAGGATGGGTCAGCTTTAGGAACATGGGGAAGTAAGATCACATTACAAATCAAATGATGGGAAAATAAGATCTCCAGAGAGATACAGCTGGGCTAAGGCAAAAGGCACAGAGGGATGACGCTGTGTTCATTCAGACATTCAGATTCATAGAATCATAGAGTGGCTTGGGTTGGAAGGGACCCCAAGGATCATCAAGTTCCAATCCCTGCTACAGGACCACCAAACTCCAGAGCTGGTACTAGACCAGGCTGCCAGGGCTCCATCCAACCTGGCTTTGAACACCTCCAGGGATGGATGGGGCATCCACAACCTCTCTGGGCAGCTGTTCCAGCACCTCACCACTCTCTCTCTGACAAACTTCCCCCTGACACTTAATCTTCCCTCCTGGAGCTTAACCCACTGACCTTCTCATAGAGTCATGGAATGGCTTAGGTTGGAGGTGACCTTAAAGATTACCTACCTCCAACCCCCTGCCATGGGCAGGGTTGCCCACCACTAGATCAGTGATGATGATTTCTGCAAGGATTAGCTGGATTTTTTAATAACTCATCTGAAAGTTTCAAGCACTGAACCCACTGTTAGCAGAAAGCCAATCTGCCCATCCTTACTGAATCACTGCCATTACGCCCTCAAATTGGTACCGCTAATATTTTTAAGTGAACAGCAGTTTTGGAAGTGGACATAGGAGCAAATGATACATGGGGTAAACAACCCACGGCTTCCAAAGGCCAGCTAACCCTTATAGGGCCTTCTGCACTCTTATCAATGCCCGTGTGCACCAATGCCAGCTATCACAAGGATAGGATTAGCTGAATCTCTGGAGGAAGAAACGTCACTTATAACCACAGCATGCACTGATCCAGTTATCTGCTAGCAGCTGACCTGTAGAATAAACCAACAGAGATGCTTTTACAGAACAACCATCTCTGTCCTCCAATTAAACATTCTCCAGCACCATTTGATAAAAAATAATTCCCCCAAAGCCAAAGTCCATGAATAACTCTTTGTAGGATGCCCACTACTCCTCCAGTCTCTCTAATGGTGAGCTGCTGCTCTGAAAGTCCTGGTTCAGAACTTAGAAACTATTAATTTTAGGACAGATTAGTTATATTCATTACATGTTTCCCAGAAATTAATTTTTGCTTTAGTTTATGGCTTTATTTGTCTGTTTAAATCATTAAAATTGACATATGTCCACAGGGCTGGATGGCTAAGTGGGTGGAGGGGCTGAGCAAAGTGTGCTCCACCTCCCAGTGATGGAAGGGATCAATGAATCCTCAGCTTAGTCAAATAACTTGGGTTAGTTTTGGAAGGATGCATACTGTGATCACGTTCCAGTCCTGCTGAGTTAAGCTGAGAATTCTGTTATGACTTTCTTATATGGATTTCTTATGCTTAACACCCTTATTTTATTTTATTTTCAGGATTTTGAACCACATAGTTCGAATAGCTGTGTTTGCTGAATTCCACTAAGGTTAAATTAGACCTATTCACATAAGAATCCAGTCTAGTCACTCTTATCATCCGGTAGTTTCTCTCTTATGACTCAATCTGTTTACCCTCAGTCCAAATAGCTGAAGATTTCTTCAGCCTACTGACTTATTCATATAAAGATTTCTCCCTATTTCCCTTAAGAAGAGAGATATATTGTGTAAACGAGTTTTTTCTAGGCAGGTATGTTTCATTTTCCTCTTTCGTAGCCAAAAGAACAGCTAGAAATGATTCACTTTTTCAGTCAAGAACCCATACTCTGAGGGAATACCACCACAGATGTTTCTGGGCCCCAGAGGCCTCCAAGGGCTCCTCTAGGGAACCCTAATAATCCTAGAGCTTCTAGTACTCCTAGAGTTCTCCTCAGTGTGTTTTAGGATGTCCTGGAGCCTTCCCTGTGTGCCTAGAAGCCCCCCAGAGTATCTAGGGCACCCTACAAGACTCCTGGAGCTGTCCAGCACGCTCTAGGATGTACTAGAGATCCCCCAGTATGCTCTAGATGTCTCCAAGGGCACCCCAGTGTACTCAAGGGCACCCTAAAGTACTCCCAGAGCTTCTTGGTGTGCTCTACCATGCCTCATAATGGCAGTGAGCGAACGAATAAACAAACAGGTCATTCAGACCCATGCATCAGAATACAAAACTAAACCAGACGAAAACTAAAATCCATTTGCAATGTGGGAATACACAGAGTAGTGACGTATCTTGATGCATGTAGTGCAGGCATTACTTTGGCCATGCTAAATGAAGCTGTAAGAGCTGGCACTGCCGGATGTTTGCACGTTGCCAGCATCCAGCGGCCTGATCTGTAGGTGGAGGGTGGAGGAAGTTTGGTATGCAAATGACTTCTCCGTTGGGTCAATCTGGAGGATATAAATATTGACAGAGTTGTATCGAACAGTTCACTACAAAATCACCCTCTCCAAAGAGAAATGGAATTATTTTACGCTCTGACAATAATAGCAGGAATTCTACTTGCTTTCCTATTATGGGTTTTAATTGAAGCTTCTTATCATTCCTTCAAGGCAAAAATTCCTCGTGATGTTGACCAGCCATCAAAGCTCAGCTTCTATAATTGGCTTTTTACTATGATTGAAATTCTGGTGAGTTTATCGTGCTCTGTGATATTGTGATTTTCAGGAAAGGGAAAACGTGAGTAGAACTATGAACATAGCATTTAAATATTGCAGCTGTGTGTAATGGGAATCGTATGGTAACACAACTTTGGTATTTTAATACTGTCCATAAAAGCTGCTTACGTGAGGTGAGATCTCTTAAATGCTGAGATTTGTATATTTACCCTGCAATTGTAACTTGATTGCCTTTTGTAATGAAATGATCGGTCCAGTGAAAAACAGAAGGGCTGAAGACCTGATAAATGAACCTTCTGTATCCCAGGGCACTCTGATCTATTTGAAGTAATTTCCTAAATTTTTATCTATCTGTAGTAATTGTTGTACTCATGATTCTATTCTTATTTCTGCAGTGACTAAACTACTGTGTCTTAATGAATTAACATAGAATCATGTATATTGGAGGTAATCTAATCATAGAATCATAGAATCATAGAATCCTTAGAGTTGGAAGGGACCTAAAGGCCATCTGGTCCAACCCCCTGCTATGAGCAGGGACACCCACAGCTCCATCAGTGCTCAGAGCACCTCCATCCTGACCTTGGGTGTCTGTAAGGATGGGGCATCATTACCTCTCTGGGCAACTTGTGCCAGTGCCTCACTGTAAAAGATTTTTTCCTTAAATCCAACCTAAATCTCCCTTCTTTAGTTGGAAACCATTTCCTTTCAACACAGATACTGCTGTGAAGAGTCTGTCCCCTCGTTTCTTACTGCCCCTTTAGATACCAGCAGGCTGCTCTCAGCTCTCTGCAGAGCCTTCCCATCTCCAGCCTATACAGCCCCCAGCTCTCAATCTGTCCATCCCTGAATCATTTTTGTGGCCCTAATCTAACCTCCTGATCAAAGTAAGTTCAGTCACAAGAGCTATTACTACTTCTAATTTATGTACTTGTAAACTAGACTGTGCTATATGCGTTGCCAGCAGGGTAAGAAACAGCTCTTGCCCAAGATATTTTCCAAGAATACAAGAGAAGATAGATCAGCCTAAGCCTTATAACATGTTTGGCAGGTATCATTATGCATGGACTTGAATTATGGTCAGACTTGGTGATCTTACAGGTCTCTTCCAACCTAAAAGATTCCATGATTCTATATCAAATGGAAGTCTGTAGGAAAACCAGAGTGATTTCATTAGCGTTTGTATGGGGTTCATCTCAAGCAGCAATGTTCCATCATCCTTAAGTTATATGCAGTGTGCAGTAATCCTGAAAAGTCATTTGGGGTGATACAAAGAAAGACTTACATGGGTTGCTTGAACCTACATGCTTTCACCAAACCAGGTCTCTCGTCCTCCAATGGCTTATGCCATGTGTACCCATCTACAATGCCTGGTGTGAAGGAAGAGTTGCTGTCCTTACATATTTCAGACTGCTCCTCGTGTTAAGCTACATATAAACATAAAACAACTAAATGACTGAATGTTATTAGTTCTCCCATGTTTCTGTACTTGGTTTGATGAAAGGGTTCTTTCAGATGACTCTCTTTACTGAAGCTGCTTCTACAACTGGTTTCAGCTGGGACAGAGTTTATTTTCTTCATAGTGTTTGGTATGATGCTATGCTTTGGCTTTAGAAGAACAATGTTGATAGCATGTCCATGTTGCTGAGCAGTGCTGCACAGAGCCAAGGATGTTTCAGTTTTTCAGCATCTCATACTGTCCTGCCAATGAGGCAGCTGGGGGTCCCACAGAGCAGGGAGGGGAGAGAACCAGAGCAGCTGCCCCAACATGGCCAAAGGAGTTTTCCATACCCTATGATGTAGTGAGAAAAGCTGTAAAACTGAAGGGAGCTGACCTGGGGGGCAGCTGTTGTCTGGGGACTGGCTGGGCATCAGTCAATGTGTGGTGAGGAATTGCTTTGTGCATCCCTTGTCCTATTCCTGCCTGGAAGGCCACCATCTCTGACCCATTTGGCAGGAAGTTGTACCAGTGTCTGAGTTGCTTCACTATGCAACAACTGAGTTATAATGTAAAGTTTAACTTTGCTCCATATTGGGAAAGAAACTCACTAATCTGTATGATGAAAGCTTATTCAAAGTTCATGCTGTTATCCTCAATTATTCCTCAAACCACCAATTTCCATATATTTTACTCTCCCACTTTCTAGAGAAAGGTGGGGAAAAAAAGGTTTCCATTTGCACCAGATAAAGTTTAGATCAGACAGCAGGAAGAACTGCATCACAGAACGGGTGGTTGGGCATTGGAATGGGCTGCCCAGGGAGGTGCTGGGGTCCCTGTCCCTGGAGGTAATGAGGAGCAGTGTGGATGTGGCACTAACACACATGGCTTAGTGATTGACCTGGTGTGGTTTCTTACAAAGCACACGATGCTCCGTGCAGTGTAAATGTGCAAGAATATTCTGCTATTCTGATGAATGTTGCTGTTGTTGTGCCAGTGACATCTCCTTTTGTGCTCCCTGCCATGTACGTTGCAAGAAAGGTCTCTTTTTTATTGTAGCACAGCACAGTCTTCTGCCTTTTTGCTGGACTTATTTGAGGCATCCCTCAGATGGCTCAGCAGTTAAGCAGCTATCTTCTGGAGATGTCATACATATGATGCTCCAGCTGCACCTGTGTACATGCTTTCTTGAAGAAATCAATGAAAATCTCAAAAGGAAAAGATGAGAGAAAGTCTACCAGCTCACAACATAGCTTCTGTGTTAATCCATTCCTACAGACCTGCATTCAGAGTGTGCATATCATACTGTGATATAAAGCTCTGATAATTATTTTGGTTGGCAAAGCACAATGCTTCGAGATGAGTAAGAGAGAGTGACTGTCAAATGGACTCTCCAAGTCCATGATGGTCAAACTGAGTGCTTTTTCCTATTTCATATATGATTTCTTAATTTGCTGAAAAGTAAAAATCTGGTCACCATATGATGTTCAATGTATAGAGAAGCCTGTGCCAGAATTTAGGCATTTGAGCAAACAGTTTTTCAAATTATTGCATGCTGGTTTGGGTTCTCATTTCTTATACAAACACAAATTTTAGAACCTGGCTTACATAATACGTTCACCTACTAATACAATCATATACACCTAGAAATAGCCATACCTCCTATATTTTGAGTGTACTGTTACTGTTTCTGAAGTATTTTCTAATTATTGATCAAGAAAAAGTTTCTCAGTGGAAAACTGAATAACATACCAAATTCCCCATTCTTCTTTATGGCAGTTCTTTTCCTTAAAACTGAAGATGTGTCTGTGATGCCAGGAGCTCCTAGGATAAGGAAAGGAAAGAGGATATTTACACAGAATGTCCTGATACCAAGTTTATCGTATATATTATTAATACTCATCACTTGAAGGCTCTGTTAAAAAAACAGGGATGTTAGAAAGTGCAGAGGAGATCAAATAAACACAGATGAGCAATTGTGTTCACTTCAACCATCCCAAAATCGTCACTTCAACAAAAAAAAAGAAAGAAAAAGGAGAAGTCAGAAACATTAAGTTACAAAAGCACAGCTGGCCATTAGTTGATGAGGCATTGATACAGTGCATACATTGCTCAGAAGAGAACAACACAATTTGCAAATTGCTTGTTATGATCACCATCATTCCGTTTGTAATGGTAATTAAGTCATAATTGAATAGGAAAAGAAGCATTGTCCCTAGCAGGAAATGCATCACTTAGAAACCATGCTCAAAATAAAGGGGGATTCCAGTGTGATCCTCAGGCTATCTATCTCAATTATCAGTAATTGAATGGCTTTGGATAAGAGGACATTATTCACCCTTAACAAACATACTTTGTTTTCCCTGCTGGATTTAAGAAACTGTCTGTAGAGCCATTTCCTGAATACCTGTGGGATCTTGATAAAGGTTTCACAAATGGAGGAGATAACATTCAGAACCATTCTCCCCACGGTCTTTGAAGCAGCATTTCATTACTGATTACAAGCATCACTGACTTTCTAAAACCTTGTTGTCACTGATCCTGTGGCTGGAGGTGATCAAAGACCACTCAGTTACTGTCATGGCTGGGACATTTCCATCTCACCTTACCTTCAGTCCTTCAGCTGAGCCATCTGGAGTGGTCAGACTCCCTTTATAACAAATGGTGATGAGCAGCAGAGCACAGCTTAATATACCTGAGGTTGGAACTGTCCTCTAGAGATGCCTCTTTCTCTTCATGGACAAGAAAAGGAGGCTCAGACCTCATGACACCTACACTGCATGCCTAAACAAACTGCTGATGTGTGATAAAACCAGATTACAGAAATAAGAAGGGATTTATATGGGACATTCAATGGAAGAAGTATTGCAACATTCTTCTGAAAACAGCATTATCTCAAACCACGAAGATGTACATTTTCACAACTCAAATCACAGAGCTTTTTTAATGAAAATCCTGTACAGCAGCAAACACCCAATGCAATTCTCCCTAATATAACACAGAGAAAGGCCACTTGTGGCCTCCTGTGGTCCCAACAGAGTGGAAAGGCTTGGATTTTCTATTCTAATTTCTTATTTTTTCTGTTATATCTAGGCAAATAAATCAGCAAGTTTGGGTATCTGTAAGAAGCACGTACTTATAAGGATGTTCTCTAACGGACTGAGGGCATGGGGGGCTTCGGAGCTCCTCATAAAGGATCTGCTCTTTGGTGAGGTGCCAGTGAGGATCTACCTCCCAACATCACCATCTGCCAGCAAGAGGAGGGGAGTCGTCCTGTTCCATGGAGGATGTGGGATGTACGGAAGCATAAGTAAGGAACTGGAAGAGAAAATGTGATTTTTAATCATTATTTTTTACGCTACTCACGCTCATTAATTATGTATTTTTAGAAATTATTTTGAACCTCAGAAGTGATGGAGGCTTAGCTTGGGCAACCGAGAGACACAACACAATGCTTGATTTTACTTTTTCACTTTTTAATCTGCCCTTATTGGATATCTAAATTATTCTTTGTAGGATAGAGCCCTATTTATGCCATATATATCCCTTACAACAATGAAGGCATCTGTTTTGGTCTGAAAACATGACAGAAGTTATTAACTCCTGCATTCCTCCATTGGACCCCTTCCCCAGAGGCATACAGCACCTGGTCTTAAATGTGTGCCCCAGGTCCTTCAATTAAATTAATTAACTTGACTTTTTTTCAGTTTAATTGATTAGAGAAAGCACATAATTGCAAGCATGCAATCAAAGAAGCTCCAAAAGATACAAACACGTATTAAAACGTGTTAGAATTCTGTAATTTAAGGTAGAACGTATTATTGAGCAAATGGCAACAAACCAAGTCTTTTAAATGTAGTAAGAACTGAACTAAAGTAGAAGAGAAACCCAGTGTATCTTTAAATACATTGTGAGAGGCATAATCCTGCCCACTGACTTACAGTGGAATGGTTTTCTAACTCTTTAATGAGATTGTTAAGTGCTCAGCTCTGCACACCTCAACTGAGGTGTTATAAAAGGGAGGATATTGCTGCAGGTATTCAAAGACATTAATTCCATTCATGTTTGTTCTTCAGAAAGCCATGAAAGAATATGCCAGCACATAGCCAAGAAGTCTGATTCCGTGGTGGTGTCAGTTGGGTAAGTTGAGCTTGAAGAAACTGAGCTCTGGGAAAGTCTGTCCTTACACAGACATGTGCAAGCCAGCACGTGCATGACAACAACATACACTGACTTGGGTTTAGCAATAACAAAAGCAATTATTAGGACGTTTAACTTATTAATCCATAGACTTAATTAAGTGGAAAGTAGAAACAGTGAGCTTCAGCCAACGGAGGAGGGTTAACAGGGGTAACTTGGGGAAGAGAAGGATTTGGGAAGACCTCATTGTGGTCTTCCAGTACTTGAGGGGAGTGTATAAACAGGAGGGTGATAGTGATAGACAAGGGGGAATGGTCTTAAACTGAGACTGGGGAGGTTTAGGTTGGATATTAGGAGGAAGTTTTTCACACAGAGGGTGGTGAGGCACTGGAACAGGTTGCCCAAGGAGGCTGTGGATGCCCCATCCCTGCAGGCATTCAAGGCCAGGCTGGATGTGGCTCTGGGCAGCCTGGGCTGCTGGTTGGTGACCCTGCACATAGCAGGGGGTTGGAACTGGATGAGCATTGTGGGCCTTTTCGACCCAGGCCATTCTATGATTCTGTGATTCTATGAACAGAGAAAACCTGCACTGCTGCCTCAGAATTTCTCTTTTCCTTATTCAACTAATATTCTCCAGAAAGATCACAAATGCAGAGAATAAAGAGCCATGGCTATGGAGGTGCATCTTGCTTCATTCACTTTGATGTGACTTTCTTTCATCTAAGAAAGAACGTTGTTGGTTAAGAACTAAACAAAGAGAGCCTTATGTTATCATCGCTCCCCTGTAATCCATTTGTCCCAGTTAACAAAATAAATGAAATAACTGTCTGCAGGAAGCTATTTCATCACCACTGAACATTCACTGCATGGTGTTTTATAAGTGTCATTAAATTACTCTTAGTATATTAAAGTGTAATAATAGCATACAAATCCATACTCATATAGAATAATAAAATACGACATGATAATATAAAATATAATAGTAAATGTAATGATCAGTGTCCTCAGGATCCAAAAATCAGTTGCACCTTTGGGTATGCAGGATGTACATCCATGGTACCCACAGTCAGTGCAAAGGGAGGATGGCAGACCGCCCTGCTGGCATGAACTTTGATCACAGGCACAAACATCTGGGGCACAAATTGAGTAAATGTGTGGGTTTGCATAAGGTGGGTGGTGGGACTGCACCATGAAAGCCTCTGTGCTCTTAAATTATGCCAGAATAAAGCAATTTACAGACACACAAGTATGTAGAAAGTCTTCTATACCTTCCAGGTACCGCTTGGCTCCTGAGCACAGCTACCCAACCCAGACCTTGGACTGTGCCACTGCCACCATCCACTTTTTGAGGACTGCCAAGAACTACGGCGTGGATCCCGATCGGATCATTGTGTGTGGGGACAGTGCAGGGGGCACTTTTGCAACATCTACTTGCCAAGAACTTGTGAACAGAACAGACATCCCAAAGATACGTGCCCAGATCTTGATCTATCCATTCGTCCAAGCCCTGAACTTCAACCTGCCGTCTCACCAGAAGAGTGCTTCCTCTGGCTTGCTGTCCCTGGAACGGATGGTCTGTTTCATCCTGATGTACCTGAGGAAGGATTGTTCTTTGATGGAAGCTGTCTTGGCAGGTTCTCACGTTCCTGAGAGCATGAATTTGAGATACAGGAAATGGATACATCCAGATCTTATCCCGGAGAAATTTAAACAGGACTACAAGCCACCGTTCCCCGCCTCATACATACCCCAGGTCCATGAGGAAGTGAAACAAATGTTTGAGACAAGGTTTTCACCACTCTTAGCAGAAGATGCTGTTGTTGGCTGCCTACCCGACACCTGTATTATCACCTGTGAGCACGACGTGCTCAGGGATGATGGGCTGCTGTACAAGAAGAGGCTGGAAGACAACAATATCAAGGTGACCTGGTACCACATTGAAGATGGCTTCCACGGTGTGCTGTGCTTTTTGGGTTATGGCATTTTCTCTTTTCCCTCGGCGAGTAAAATAATGGATCACATTGTAAATTTTATAAAAGGCTGTTAAAATGTCTCCTTCAATACACTGAACTACCTCGCAGAGCGAGTGCATTTCAGTTAATCACTGAGTGTCAAGAAGTGATAACTTCTGATAGTGCAATCTGCTGACTTCTGGCTTTCAGTTGCTCCTACTTGGAAGCATGATGTGGTTTCCATCTTCCTTTCTGGTTTCTTATCCATTAACTAATATTTTATCCTTGTTTTGCTTCTCTTTTTCTGTTTTAAGAATTTCTGTTCTTTTGTCAAAGAATGAAAGCTCATGATTTATACAGCAAAACACACTTTAAAGCCTGGAATATATAAATAACCATAAATGCATGCACACGGATCACACAAACAAAAGCAGTATGAGAATACAGATAAAATGAAAGCCTGAAAGCCTCTGCAGGGCAAAGATTCGTTCACAGTCCCTAAAACAAGCAGTGATTGCCATTGATTTATAGGCATATTCAGCCCTTGGGTTTGGACCTGGCTGTAAAACCTGAAGGGGGAAATGGAGTGTACTTACAGATCTTAGCTTACAGCACAATGGGTGGCACAGAAGGGAGTAACAAGTCAAAGCTGTTGGAGCTTTCCATGTAAGCATCTGAGAGTGGCAACGTGGAAGGCTCTTTTGGCCTTTCAGGGCCCCTTCCAACTCAAACAATTCTAGAGTTCAGTGATTCCAAATGGAATCTGACAAACATCACTGAATGTCCTCTAAGCTATAATCTGTGAAGCTCCTTTCTGAGGGGCATTGGCTCCTATTCAGGGAGACAGACACAGCATTTTTGTTAAGTAATAATGCAGTTATTAGATGAGAACTTGAGGGTAAATTCATAAAACAGCACTAAAATGGCAAGAATAGTTTCTGCTAATGCCCAAAGCAAAGGAAAAATAATAACCATGGAATCCTTTGAGTTGCAACATTAGGCTGGATTTGTTTTTTAGGACGGATCCACATTTATAAAGGCAGATGCCTGGCTGAGTGCCAGAGCATGTCAAAAGAGCTGGCCATGCAATGCCTAAGGATTGTAAAACATTTCATCATTCCTATGCAATCACTCTGCTCTTGTAATAGCCATGCAGATAAAAGTGTGGAAAGAAGGCAGGGCGTTATCTTTCTTCTCCACCAGCTGAACTGTGAGTAGGAAGAAAATGCTGGGTTAAATTCTTCACACTGTCACCATATTAATTAAATGTGGTGACACGGTAGTACTTAGAAACCTCTGGAGCAACCAGTAGTTACTTGTGAATTCTTGTTCTCTGCAAAATGAAATGGTGTTTCTTTGTGCTCCATGGACACAATTGGAACTTGGTTCCATTTTCCCTGTTGCTGGTGTTAATAATTTACTCTTCAAGCAATGAAATTCTCCCAAGAGTAAACAATGTGACGAAGCTTACAAAGCTGTGCTGGTTGAGGATTACAGGATTTGTTTTGATAACAGGACTTGGTGTGAAATTGGCAAGTCATTTTGGTTTCTGACCTGACTATAAGGCTGGCTTACCAGTTGACGTGTTGGTAGAAGCTGGGCCAGAAGTGCACCAGGGTTTGCTACGAAAGCAGTGCAAAATGCTGGCTTGCATTGGAGCAGTTAATCCATGGCGGTCTGCTCTGCCACATCAGTCTTGCTACCTGCACAAGAACACTCACAGTTATCTTGGGTATGTCTCCATGAACTTCAGTCTAACCTGGGAGTCATTGGCTTATCTTTATTCAGGATCAATTTATTACATGCATGTCATCTTCACAACTGTCCTTTTATTGATTCCCAGATGTGGTTTCTAAGGTTTCTGGAATGGAAGTCCCTCCTCCTGTCTGATGCAAGAGAATTTGGTAACCAAAGTGACCTGAAGCAAAAGTTCAAAGCCCTCAGCAGCACTGCACACCACACGTCGCCCATTGGTGCCCAGCCTCTCTAAAAGCTGGCTTTGCATTTGAGCATTATGGGCACTCGTTTCTGCCATCCTGCACACAGCACAAAACTAAGGAAACAAGCATGCACACAAAGATTCAAGAAATCAATAGAAGAGCCTCCAAACATAACTTTTGGTGTATGTTCCTCAAATCTCCCCAAACCCCCAAAAGACCATTGAATCCACTCAGGCTGTGCCACCTCCTGTAAGGATTAACCACCTTACCCCATTCTCCTAAGTAAACTTGATGATAGGTTTCCCCATCTGATTACCTCACTTAAAATAATAGTCGTCCTTCACAAAATCCAAGATTCTTATCACATCACTGAACTTCTGCACATTTTTTGCCCTAAGTTTTCCACTTGGCTTTTCTCCACTACTTGATCAGCGTGCTGTAAGACACCAAACGTGGCAAAGAGTGGAGAGAGGGGAATGTTCTGTATTTCTTGGTAAGCAAATAGCACCAATAAAGCTTTTGAACAATGGTGTTGACTAACAAATGCAGCCTACAGCACTGGCTTGTAACATTCTTAATCATTTTCACCATTCTACTATTTTGAAATGACCACACGATTGACAATTAACTTTTGCAATGTTTTGTTTTGTTTGTTTGTTTGTTTGTTTGTTTTTTGCCATGTTAAATATCACATCAACATCTTCATGCTTCTTGGAAAAGCCTCTCAAAGATGCCAATATGCAATACTCTAAAATGTCTTCTCTGCTGCTTCCTCACCTCCCAGGCAATGATTGCACTGAGCAAACACTTCTGTGAGCTGTCACACCCCTCTACTCAAACAATGGGTTCCTTGCTAGAGAGCCTCTTGCCCCATGCCACACTGGTGTTCAGCAGAGTCCTCTCCATTTTGAAATCCATTCTCTGCTTGGTCACCAAAGCTGTTTTGTTACCCTTCTGAACACTTTGCACGTCCTGCAAAGAGCTAAAGATGTGCCTACAGTTCCACATTACACGTTATGAGATGACCACCTCATCCAATGCAGTGTGTGTTGTGCTTCAGGTCAGTTCAGCAGTCCATCCATATTTTCATCGTTCATCATCTGGACCATCATCATTTATGGATGCACTGGTCTATTATTGAGATTTTTCCGTGGTCTTTACCTGCAGGTCTTGATTTAATACAAATATTAATTGGTTTATAATGTCTGCAGTATAATTAGCCATATTGAACACATGGATTTTAATCTGGATTGGGGGTTATGGTCATGGTGCTGCAGATGGGTAACTAGAGAACAGCAAGTACAGAAACAATGAGTTCCTTTTTCAGTGGTGACTCCAATATTTTCTAAAATCTAGAAAGCAGAACGATCTCATTGTGCCCAGGGAACTTCCTGTCCTCTAATTTGATTAACTATAGATCTGCTATGTGCCTTACACTCTTAAACTAGAGTGCTTGTTCATACAAATGTTCACATGAACTCATTCATACAAATGATATATGATAATTTCCATAGCTTTGGAAATTTTAATTCGTTTAAATATTTTTCTATTTTCTAGGGCAAAACACAGCAAAATGGTTGCTATCCTCTTTATTCAGACACTTTCTGACAGCACGCTCCTTTCACTGTCCACATCTTCAAGAACTCAAACACAAGCAGAAACTTGCAACGTGCCTACAGTTATGCACACAAATGCCTTTGGAGGCCTGGAGTCATGGCAAGAAGTCATGCATGCAAAGAAATACTGATGGATACAAGTAGGCACACACAAATCTGAGCTTGTCAGCACCTCGTATCCGAGCTTACAGCCAACGGCAGTAGGTGCTGCTGAGGTTTCTCTTGGCTCGTTCAGCTTTCCAGTTCAGCTTTCCAGCACCAGATGGCTCTCATGCTCCACAGACCTCAACGAGCACCTTCAGCAGGAGCCCCGTCCCAGCACCTGGGCAGAGGCATCCACTCCCACCTGCTGTGTCATGGAGTCACAGAATCATTGAGGCTGGAAAGACCACTAAGGTCATCAAATCCAACCACCTGTGACTGCTCTAAACCACATCCCTCAGTGCCACATCTGACCTTCAGCGCCTCCACAAACAGCGACTCCACCACCTTCTTTGGCCAGCAACAAAGACCACAAGGATCACCAAATCCAACCATTCACCCATCCCCACCATGCTCTCTAACCGTGTCCCCATGTTTACATGGTGGAAAGCACCCCAGCTGTGGTGTTGTCTTCCTGTTATTGTTTTTTTTTTCCTCCATGGATCTTATCAGTGCTTATCAGTGCTTCGAGCATCAAGTATTACTCTGTGTACTTCCATGTATCCAAGAAAAAGCATTTCCCAATTTCCCTATTTACCCAGCCAGTTTGTCTCTTTTCCTGCTGCTATCCAGACTTCAGCACAGAGCTTTCACATGGAAGCTCTAACAGTGATGTTGGGTTGTTGGTGTGCTGCTGTGATGTCCAGACCCAGTTAACACGTCCGAAAGAGTCACAGAAATCACAGAAATACCAAGATTGGAAAAGACCTACAGGATCATCCAGCCCAACCATCCACCTGTGACCAATGGTTCTCGCTAAACCACGTCCCTCAACACAACATCCAAACGTTCCTTGAACACCTCCAGGATCAGTGACTCCATCACCTCCATGTGCAGCCCATTCCAGTGCCTGACCACCCTTTCAGAGAAGTAGTGTTTCCTAACATCCAGCCTAAATCTCCCCTGGCGCAGCTTGAAGCCATTCCTGCTAGTCCTATCACTGTTACACGAGAGAAGGGGCCGACCCCCAGCTCACTGCAACCTCCCTTCAGGTAGTTATAGAGAGCAATGATGTCTCCCCTGAGCCTCCTCTTCTCCATGCTGAACAATCCCAGCTCCTTCAGCTGCTCCTCATAAGACCTGTGCTCCAGACCCCTCAACCAGCTTTGTTGCCCTTCTTTGAACACGCTCCAGGGCCTCGATGTCTTTCTTGCAGTGAGGGGTCCAAGACTTACAGCTCTTGGTAAAGTGACTTCCATAAGGACAGGCACCAAAGAGGTGTGAAACCAGCTGAGCAGTGGTGGGAAGAACCTTAGAACAATGGTGGTTCTGTCAGAGGTGCTTCCAGAGGGGCCACATCTGATGGGCACGGTTAGGCCACACCTGTCATTGGGACAGCACAGCTTCAACAAAGCTGACTAATTGCTTTCACTATTAAAAACTGAAGAAGTTAGCTGCAACCAAGTTTTG